CCCCAAAACCCCAAAACCCCAAAACCCCTTTAATAAAAAATAATCTATTTTAGTATTTTGAGAATAATTATTAATAAGAAATATTAATATAATAATGATTTGTTTGAAATTTGAATGCGTCTGAGGTAATAAACTCTTTTTTATTAATATTGTTTCGTAATAATTTTGTTGTTTGATTAAAGTACTAGAGCTCAGAATTTATAATAATTGAAATATTTAATTACTAATGAACATAATTTAATTCAAATAGTTCCTTAAAGGTGGATTTTCCAGGTTAAATCTTGGATATGACGCAGCAAGAAATCAACCAATCATTATAAAACGAGTAACTCTAAATCAGTCTGATTAACTATTTAAATAGAATAAAGATAGCTCATAGCAATCTAAAGAAATAAAAAAGATAAGGGATATTTAGAAAATAGTGGCGACTGAAGGAATAGAAGGTAACCTAACAAATAAATTAATTTTTATAGAGTTCAGCTAAATAATGGAGTATCGAACCATTACTAACCTTGATGATACTCAATCACTTATAGTACCTCTAATCGGCTCAAATCTTGATGAGATTAGATATTTGAGACCTAGTAATTTCTATGGAGATATAGAAATTAGCAAAATAGCTATTGCTTGTGTAAATAATACCAACTAATAATAACTTTTAGCTTTAACAATTATTTTTGCTCCATAAAACTGGGTACGTTCACGGCGACATAAAACCTGAGAATATTTTAATAGGATAAAAAAATGAATCTAATAGAACCACAAGTTGTAAAAAGACAAGCCTGTTACATTTATTCTAAACACAAGAACAACAATTGTCAAAATCATTTTTTAACAGAAAGAATGATTGTAATGAATAAAAACTATCATTCAGCAACGATATAAAGAAAAATAATAATAGTAATAGTACTAATAGACAAGAGTTGGCAATAATTGATTTTGGGGCAGCATAAAGCTATCTTTAATCTGACTAACATGGTTAATATGTGCATATCGAGAGGAAGTAAATGGAGATCGTAACATGCACACTGTAGTACGCAAGTGTCAATTAGCTTAAGGGATACACCATTTCAAGAAAAGATGATATTGAATCCTTGTTTTATACATTAGTAGTACTTTCAGGATATAAATTAGAACAGATAACTGATGAAAATCAAGTAAACTTAGTTAAAAAGAAGAAATTTGAAGGAACCGCTTTAGAGAGTTACTAGGAACTGATGTCATACTATTTAATAAAGAGCTGTATATCTGAAGAAAGCTTATTGAAGTCGAATCTGCCATTCACCTTAATACTTTTGTGGAAGCACATTTAAAAAATGTTATATGAGGACGAGCCAAACTACTAATATCTCATAACTTTATTCCAGTCAAATCTAAGTGCTTTAGATGATCCTGACAAGATCGTAGAAATAGATTTGTTTTAAGAGGATTAATTATGGAGTTTCTATCACTCAATCTTTGAAGAATACAAATAATCTAGATATGTAAAAAATAAAGCGAGACAAGAGAGTAAATTACTTTAGGTTAATTAAGAAATTGATTTTGAAATTGCTGAAGAAAATTAAACTAACTAAAGTATTGAGGAAAAACTGTGCATTTACGATAGATCCACTAAATGCTCAATACTATAGAGAAATAGACAAATTGCAATCCAGATCTGAGTAAGTATAGTAAAGAGTTCTGTTAAATAGCAGCTCCATTGTTCAGTAAATATATAAGAAATATTTAGGAGTTTGACTGTCATTTATAATCATTAATTTATTGTAATCATAATTATGCATGAGACTTAAAAATTAATTTATTAAACTAATTCTTTTCCAATATTTTTTTTAAAAAATTACAGTGGGGTTTTGGGGTTTTGGGGTTTTGGGG